ACCCCTAATAGAAAGAGAGAGAGAGAGAGAGAGAGAGAGAGAGAGAGAGCATAAAAGAATATAAATACGCAGTGGAATCACTTTTTTTTAAAAAAAAAATATTTAAGTAATTAACTAATCTATGATACTTCCAATTTGAAAAGGCATAGTATTAGCAACTTCTCAAAGAGAATTTCAAAATTAATTTTCACGATATCACATTTTTATTAGTCACTTTGTTGGAATGATATAATTTAAATAACTAATGTAAACAAAAATATAATATTACTTATACATACTATTAAAAAATAACAATACAAATAAAAATATAACACCCACAATATAAACTAATATAATAATTAGAATGAGAATATAAACAGAAATACGGCATTTCACATTATAATTATGCATCTTTCTTCACAAAATATTACAAATAACACAAATACTTATAAGTTGTCTAGCTTTTGATGGGTCAATCCGTCATAGTTTGTTAACAAAAATGCAAAGTTTAAAGTTTAAACTATAAAAATAACAAACATTGGCTATGTTGTTTATCAAGAATATACCATTTTAATATGATAATATGCATGTAAAATTGTTTAAGTGTTAGTTCTATGTAACAAACTAACAATAGTCATTTGACTATAGTACAAACACATGAAACTCCACATTAATATGTGGCACATATAATATCCAAAATCCAAAAAAAAAAATAAAAATACATACATACATATATATATATATCTATATATATATATATATATATATATATATATTAGCACTAAAGGTACAAACCAGATCACAAAGGAAAGGATGCCAAGAAATCACAAATCACAATATAGGAAAAAAAAATTACATCAAGTCACTAGTCCTAAATAGATAACAAGTAATTTATTTTCCAAACAGCTTCCAAAAGCCACCAAAAACATACTCAAAGATACACACCAGAAAACTCTTCACAATTTCAGCTGGAATTCATGTCACTTATAAATCAATCTCACTTTCAAAATCCTGAACCGCAGAGTGAAAGCAAAAGCGATTGCCTTAGCTTTCAACGCAAAGATCACAACACAAACCATTCTATAAGACATTTCGAAGCCGTTTCAGCCTTCTTCTATCAGTTTCTTCATAATTGCAGGATTGCAACCATCTTAAAACTCGTTAAACTTTATCGATATTTGATCCATATTGGGCTGATGTCTCCTTACCTTGTATACAAGAATTGTTAGTGTGAAAATACGAAAATTTTAAACGCTCTATAAGTTTAACAAATGAACACTACATAATTTTTTCCGTTTTCTCATGTTATTTCGAAATAATTTGGATACTTCTTGTGGAACGGAGAATGATGCAAGTAACTTTGGTTGGAAAAAAAAAAAAAA